ACAAAGATTTGTGTTTCATTTTTTATCAATTAACAACGACGCATCTAAATTGAGATACGTGATACAAGTTTTTTAAACCAAAGAGAAATGCTTTGACCAATTTTTTTATTCATCCGATCGAATAAATTGTACGAAAATACATCGACGAAGAAAAGTGCAGTAATTATACATGGATTGGAAGAAACACCGATACACAACACAAGTGAAATTTAGAAAATTCTTAAGAAAAGAACAGATAGAAAGCAGACAGGTTGGTATTTCTCTATCATTTTTTTTCATAATTGTTCACGATGCACACTTATAAATATTTTGTATATTATGTAATTTTATACTTTGGAATTATTGACGGCGAAGAGATTCTAAAAACCGTAGATCTCGAGAAAACATTATCAACGTTGGATCACGTGCATCATACAAAAAATATCACGAACTGGCCAGAAATAAATCAGAAACTTTGGAAAGGTGTTTTTATCTAGCGGATGATAATTACAATGAAACGCAAACACTAATCTCACAACAAACTAAGAGAATAGAAGAAAAAATTAATTGTATAGAAACGCTTGAAAAAGCTACGTAAGACAGAGGTACATCATTATTAACGAAGAAAGTTCGGATATTTTTTAATTCTTTTTTCCGGTATATACTTCTTTCTAAAAAATTTTTTACGGTCGACAAACTACCGATTAAAATTAACAATCTTAAATGTTGCAGATACAGCAATAACAGATTTCTTTCAAACGGAACAAAAATTTGAAACTCTTAAGAAGCAATATTTGCAAATACGTACAAAATATAGTAAAAGATATATCTACATATTTCTTTGGGATAGTAATTTCTATCGAATGTAATACCGTCGACACAGCAACACATTAAAAAGCAACGAGTATAAACAAATTTGTATGTATCAATTAATTTTCACGAAGTTACAAATTTTATTCCTGTCTTTTTTTTTATTTTTAATTATAAACTTTTTTTTTTGGAACAATGGTATACAGAATATCAG